CACACACACACACACACACACACATCTTCCTCCTCACACCATCATCTCACCTCCCTCCATCCACCTTTCTCCCTCCTCCGCTTCCCACCATCCCACCTTCGGCCATTCTCCGATCTCTAGCCATCATCTTCCCACCATCTCCACCTCCCTCTCTCTCTCTCTCATATATATATATATATATATTTTATTGTCCATATCTCGATTGAAGTGTGTGATCGTCGTGAAGGGGCCTTGTTAATCTTCTCTGTATCGTGGGTTTGAGGGCCTGCGGTTGTAGGCAGTGCTTTCATTGGGTGCTATGATCGAAGGCAGTGTTTACACTGGGGGGGGGGGGGGGGGGGGGGGGGGGGGGGGGGGGGGGGGGGGGGGTGTTGAGGGGCGGTTGGCGGGGATGAGGGTTTGAGGGGCGGACGCTGTTTCCTTTGAAAAGTGTTGAAGAGGGGTTGACGCCTAGTCTGTTTGTGGATTGCGTGTGCGCAGGTGAGGCTTTCGATGGCGCTGGCGAAGCAGATCTTGCAGTCGCTTGCGAGGCACTTCACTGATGAAGGTCCTCACGGCAAGGACCCCGGCAAGGGGTCGAGGCACTGGCTGTGCAACTATTGCGAGACTCAGTTCGTCGGCACGAAGTCGGTCTTCAAGAAGCACTTCATGAATAAGTGCAGTATTGAGCTTGTCACTTAGGCATTGACAGCGGAGGAGAGGGTGATGAGAATCGAGGGCATCCGGCTGGGGAAGCACCAGGCCAATCAGCTCCTAGGTGCAACTGGTGGTAGTTGTGGTCCGATCACAGGACCGTCTTCCAGCAGTTTCGTGCCTCCGTCATCACCAAGACAGAGGCCAAGTGATGGTGAGACACCCTCGTCTGCAGTATTTGGGACATGCTTCCCTCCTCCCCCTGGAAGTGGTGGACGGTCGTTGAGACAAACTTTGATCGAGGAGGCGGACAACATCATCACCCAGAACGAGCAGACGACTCGGAAGATGGATCGGTGGCTGATTTGCACGAATCCGCCATTCAGCATGGTGGAGAACTTCTACTTCCTCGAATTCCTGGATGCTGTGAAGAAGTGCCATCCTAGTTGGTGGCCTTGCAAGAGGGACGAGGTGAGGACGAAAAGGTTGGATGGGCAGTTTAAATCGGTGGGGGAAGACACACAGTCACTAGCCAAGATGTGGGAGAGAACAGGGTGCATGCTCCAGATGGACGGGTGGTCGCTCCGAAAAACAAACCGCACCTGAACATCATGGTTTCTTCCCCAGACGGAATGGTGTTTTGGAAGTCCGTCTCCATGGAGGGGAGGGAGAAGGGCGTACTTCAAATTGCTAGACGGGTTGATCCAGGAGATCGGTGCGGGGTCCATTGTCGGTGTTGTGATGGACAATGCGAGGGTTTGCACTAAAGCGGGGAAGATGGTGGAGGCCAAGCACCCTGGTATTTTTAGTGTGGGCTGCACAACGCATGCCTTGGATCTGGCCCTGGAGGACATGTACAAGTGCATGGACTGGCTGAAAGCGGTCGTCGACAAGGGCAATCAAGTTGGCAAGTTCTTCACCAACGTCGACAAGGTCCGCACAACGCAACTCAAGCGTCCGACGGCCACAAGATTCGCGACGAACTTTGAGATGCTTCAGTCGCTGAAGACGGGGAAGAATCCATTGGAGCTCTTTGTCTGCAACACGACATGGGTGGAGAAGTTGGTGAGAGGGGAGCAGGTGGCGGCATTCAACGCCGTCACCCACATCATCATGGGCACGAACGGATTCTGGAAGGAAGTTGATAAGGCCATGGCGGTGATGGAGCCACTTGTCAAGCTCCTTCGTTGGTAGACGGTCCCGAAGCAACTATGAGCAAAGTTTACTTTGGCATGGAGGCGGTTGTGTCGAAAATGCACACCTTGGACTGCCTGTCAGAGGCTGAGAAGGTGGATGTGGAGAAAATTTTGATGGACCGGTGGGCCTTCATGACATCAGAGCTGCATTGTGCGGCCGCCTTCCTCGACCCCGAGTACAGGACGCACACCTTGCGAGACACGGAGATTCGCGAGGGGTTCAACATCTGGCTTTACTGTTGGGCGTCGTCGGAGTTGCTGCAGCGAAATATCAGTAGACAGGTGGACATGTGGGTGCAGGAATTGGGCACTTTGGGGACACAAAACGCAAGGGATCAAGTGAGTTCGAAGACTCCGACGCTATGGTGGGAGGCGTTCGGGGCGTCCCTTGACCTCCTCCAACTGCAGGCTATCAAACTCCTTGGGCAAGCGAGCTCGTCGGCGGCGTGCGAGCGAAACTAGAGCTTGCACCAGCTCATTTACGGCCAACGCCGCACGAAGCTCATGCCAGAGAGATTGAGCAAGATGGTGTATAACAATTGGAATATCCAATTGTCGACGCGGCGAGAGCGAGGGGACAGGGAAGACATACACATTCCGTGGAAGGACGACGAGCTGGCAAGAGTGGAAGTGGATGAGTGGTACGACCAATGGGCCTCACAGGTTAGGGAAGGGACATCCGACGATGCTGCTGCAGCGGAGGTCTGCGTAGACGAATTGGAAGATGCCCCGCTAGAGCGCACATGGCTGCAGAACGAGGAGGAGAACTTTGCAGATGATGAGGACGATATCGTCGCACTCGGTGCGCTGGAGAGTACATGGCACGCAAACACGAAGCCCGGAAAGCACCGAGTGCGGGAGTTGCGCAGGAAGTCTGGTGTTGAAGAGCCCGATCCCGAGTTTGTGTACACCTTGGAAGGCCGTGACCGTGCCTTGAAGGCGCGTCAAACCGGCGATTGGGTGCAGGGGAGGGAGGCAATATCGGGTCGTGGGCGACGCAAGAAGAAGGCAACAGTACCGCACGTTGCCAAAGAACAGCCAGTTCACAAACGAAAGAGAAAGGTTGGGGAGGGGGATGCACCACCAAAAAAGAAGAGAGGGCGGCCTCCGCTTTCACCCTCAAAGAAGGCTGCAAAAGCAGCAGCACGTGCAGAGGCCGCAAAGGCGGCAGCAGTCGAGGCAACAAGGCCTGCGAAGAGGAGAACGGCTGAGGTGATCGAAGACGACGAAGAAAATCCGTGTCGTAACCGAAAAACACAGCCTTCTTCATCCTCCTCCTCATCGTCCGAAGATAGTGCGCCGCAGAATATTGAGGAGGAGGAAATGTCCCAGCAATCGGACGGTAGTGGAGAGCCGGACGGGGATGAGTCAGAAGAGGACCCGTCGCAGGCGGAGTCTCACGGGGAGGAACGGTCGAGGGAGGAGGACGAGTAGCCCTTAGGGAAAGAGTATCTTGAGGGTAGTGTGTCCACTGTCCTTGCTTGCTTTTGTGTTCCCAAAACTACAAACTTTGCAAACTTTGCTTTCGGGATCTTGGGTCTGACACTTTTTGTCTTGAATCTTGTGATGTTTCTCGTTTCTGCTTGTGTTTGAAAAATGGACATGCTTACTCTCTGATTGCACGCACATCGCTCAACCAGGTAAGTTACTAAGTTCTAATCACCGCCCCCGAGGACATTTTATGGGTGGATGTGTTGTGCACAACGCCAGCATGAATCCTGCACAGTGTGTGTGTGTGTGTGTGTGCGTGTGCGTGTGTGTGTGTGTGTGTGAATGTGTGTGTATGTCAGATGATGTATGCTGCTGCTGTTTTCATGTCTTCATTTACAAGCACCAGCAGAATCAGCACCACCTGCTGATTCTGCTGCTGCTGCTTCTGCATCTGCAGCTGCTTCTGCTCCAGCTGGTGCTTTTGTTGTTTCAACAGCTTCTGTTTGTGCCGCTGCCGGTGCTGCTGCAGGTAGTATTGAAGGTGCTTGCGTCCAACGAAACAAGAAAAAGAAAAAAACAATCCTGCAGAGAGAGAGAGAGAGAGAGAGAGAGAGAGAGAGAGAGAGAGAGAGAGAGAGAGAGAGAGAGAGAGAGAGAGAGAGAGAGAGAGAGAG